AGCTTAGGACTGTTGAGCAGCTAGAATCCTACATCAGACAAAAATGGGACGACGTTCCCCTCCCACAACTGCATCAATTGGTCTTCTCACTTCCCAGACATTTACAGACTGTTGTTAAAAGAAGAGGGGATGCTCCACAGTGGTAGACACGGCCCTGTCCCAACTTTTTTGAGATGCGTTACTGCCATCAAATTCTAAATGAGTTAGTGTTTTTCATGAAATGATAAAATGTCTCACTTTCAACATCTGATCTGTGTTCTATGTTCTATTGTGAATAAAATATGGGTCTATGAGATTTACAAATCATTGCATTCTGTTTTTATTTACATTTATTTACATTTTACACAGCGTCCCAACTTTTTTGGAGCGGGGGTTGTACATTGTGTTAGTCATTACTGAATAAAGTAACCGTTATTAATCTTGCAGAGGTCTGAATAGTAGTGTATGTGTACGAATGTAAGCATATTCAGTAGTGCACAGCAATCACTGCAGTTCAATCTGATTAGGAAGGAATGTTTTGGGCTGTCCTGATTACAGTGATGTTTTTCCCCAGAATGCCTCTCTCTGCTCTGGCATTGTATCTCTACTGTACTGTCTGTAATTCACTCATCAGGCAAACATAATTGGTCACTGACTCGCTGGGTCACATGGTGCAAAAAGCCCCTCTGAGCACATGCACTGCCGGTCAGCACACACACAAAAGACCGATTGTTCTCCAGAGAAGCAGAAGGACTTTGATTGAGCGGTCAGCCTTTTATTTCCCAGCAACACCACTGCTGTATGACGGCGTGTTTGCGAGAACAAGAAAGAGTGAAAGAGTGAAAGACTGAAAGAACAACAGCAATTTTCATTTTCACTTTCCCTCTGACCCCACACTGCACTCTGGAACAGCCTAACAAACCACACCCACTGGCCACTTTGTAAGAAACACCTGCCTTATACTTCCACTCACTGGCCACTTTATTAGAAACACATACCTCATACTTCCACTCACTGGCCACTTTATCAGAAACACCTGCCATATACTTCCACTCACTGGCCACTTTATCAGAAACACCTTGTGCCATATACTTCCACTCACTGGCCACTTTATTAGAAACACCTACCTTGTGCTTCCACTCACTGGCCACATTATTAGAAACACCTGCCTCATACTTCCACTCACTGGCCACTTTATCAGAAACACCTGCCATATACTTCCACTCACTGGCCACTTTATCAGAAACACCTTGTGCCATATACTTCCACTCACTGGCCACTTTATTAGAAACACCTACCTTGTGCTTCCACTCACTGGCCACTTTATTAGAAGCACCTACCTTGTGCTTCCACTCACTGGCCACTTTATTAGGAACACCTACCTTATACTTCCACTCACTGGCCACTTTATTAGAAACACCTGCCTTATACTTCCACTCACTGGCCACTTTATCAGAAACACCTGCCTTATACTTCCATCTCTGGCTACTTTGTATTTTCACTTACTGGCCACTTTATTAGAAACCACTACTTTTGCTTCCACTCACTTGCCACTTTATTAGAAACACCTTGTACTTCAACTAATTGGCCACTTTATTAGAAACACCTACCCTTTGTTTCCACTCACTGGCCACTTTATTAGTAACACATTTTTGGTTTCACTTCATGGCCAGTTTATTAGAAACACCTACCTTGACCTAGGTTGACAGTGGACCTCCACCCAAATATATGCAGTACACCAGTTAGCACAGTGGAGCTACAAGAAAGGGGCTTCTGATAAAATGGCCAGGAAGTGCACCCAGTATGTTTATGTGAATAACCATATAAAGTTAGTTTTTTTTTTCTCGTAGAAAAGAAAGATGAATGCTGCAGCATCCTAAAACTAAGTCATTCTTCTTATATAAACCTCTTATTACACCGCAGTCACTCCCCATATGTGGCTAAAAGTTTGTACACCACTCTTACGTCATTACGATACACTAGCAACGCCCTAGCAACCACCTGGGGTGCCATAGCAACCACCCAACAACCTTTTTGCGTCCACTTAAGATACCAAAGCAACCATCTAGAAACACCCCAGGCATTACCTGAAACTCTACAGCAACCACCTAGTAACACCCTAGCAACCACCTTGGGTACCATAGCAACTGCTAAAGATACCATAGCAACCAGGGGAAGTGATGCAGTTCCCTTATCAATACAGAGGAACTGCTTAAGCTGCATAACTGCTCATTTTATTTTAGGAAATGCACATTTAAAGGTGGTTCATGTTTTTCCCTCTGTAATGGCGCACAGAGACTTAATGAAAATGAAAAGAAGACGTTTCAGACGTGGGGCAAACATCATTACAGGAGAACAAAAGTTTTACCTTTTAAATTGATATGATAAGATGAATTGTGTTTAATATGACCAGGAACATTAATTAAAATGGTAAAATTTCATGTTTAATTTCAGTGAATTTGCCAGCTTCCAACACAGCACAGCATGTTTACTCACAGTGAGTTTAACTAAGCAGTTTGTTCCAGAGCGCTGCATCAGTGTAGCAGTGCTGTTCTCTGACTGTGGTGTTTTCTGTGGGAAAAACCTTCACGCTGTGTATTAATAACACTCATACTGAGCGCATGTGCAGCTTTGAAGGTTCGTCACTTTAAACAGTCAAAACAGCTCAGTGGAATGTGCGGACGAGGCTGTTGTTGTTTTTCTGTCTCTGAGTGAGCTGAGGGTAAACTGAGAGTGAGTTGAGGGACACTCAGAGTGAGCTAAAAGTGAGCTGAGGAACGCTCTGAGAGTGAGCTGAGGTGAGTTGAGGGACGCTCGGAGAGAGCTGAGAGTGAGCTGAGATTGAGTGAGATTGAGCTGAAATTGAGTTGAGGGTGAGCTGAGAGCTGAGAGTGAGTTGAGATTGAGTGAGATTGAGCTGAAATTGAGTTTAGAATGAGCTGAGATTGAGCTGAGAGTGAGTTGAGGGTGAGCTGAGAGAGCTGAGAGTAATCTGAGGGATGCTCTGAGAGTGAGCTGTCAGTGAGCTGAGAGTGAGTTAAGGAATTCTCTGAGAATGAGCTGTGAGCGAGTTAAGAGTGAGCTGAGGAATGCTCTGAGAGTGAGCAGAGAATGCTCTGAGAGTGAGCTTGGGGATGCTCTGAGCCTGTGCCAGGATTGAGATAAGGGGCACTCTGAGAGTAAGCTGAGAGTGAGCTGAGATAGAGCTGAGATAGAGCTGAGAGTGAGCTGAGATTGAGATAGGGGACGCTCTGAGAATGAGCTGCTATTGAGCTAAGATTG